GTATTAAACAATTTTATTTCCATCTTGGATTACAACCATAAATAACGTATTGAATTTATTTTATTTCTATACTTTTAAAAAATAATTCAGCTATTCCGATGTATGGTACTCAAAATTATTCTACAGTGCTTCCATTGCTGCAAATTGTATTATTCCAGAAGAAGAGCTTTGAGGATTTGGGCCGCATATTTTTTTCTTAAATGTGCCACAGAGATTTTACATGTATGCTGGGAGAATAGGAATGCATCCAAAAGAGAGACGAAGCTGATTCACTTTTGACTTGCAGCGCTCATATTTCTTACTCATGTTTGAATTGATTTTCTTGGCTATAAGAGCATCCCCTTCTCTCCCCCCCCCTTCCCTTCTGAAAGCATTTCAAGCTTGGTATTCAAGGGCTGACTGGATCATATTTTCAAGGGCATCTGTTCCTAACTGCAGCCGAGGATGGGGCCCAGAGAGCAGCCTGGAAGGATCCACCTAGAATTGCTTGAATTAAGTCCTTGCACCTGGATATAATTGTCGTGCTGCTGTGCAGGGGTTTTCTTAAGCTACTGGTAAAACAAATTAGCTCATTTTAACTGGCATCCAGTAGGGAAGCACACAACTCTCCTCATAGAATGTTTTTCAAATAATTATTTTTCTATTGCCAGCTTTACCTCATGAATATTTTCCTAAAGGCTGAGTGAGATTTTATTTTAAAAGGCAAAGCAGATGCGGGTAAATATCCTGTTCTAGATATCAGCAGTTTTGGGATGTGATATGTCTGTAGCCATAACTGGGTTTTGTGTTTGTTTGTTTTTTGCCCTCACTCCACAGCCCTAAATAGAAGTCAGATCAAAATGATGGTGTCATGTCACACCAAATCAAGAACAGAATGCATCTCTGTAACCTCTAATGTATTGATTTATTTCAAATATTTCTAAGTCCACCTTTCTTCCAAACACTGGGACCTGATTCACATGTTTTTTTAGAAAATTGTCCCAGTTATTTATTTATTGTTATTTATGTATTTATTTATTTATTTATCCTTGCTATAAACTTGGAAGATTGAACAACAACAACAACAACAACAACAAAAGAGTAGGTGGAGACAGTCCAAGTTCATCAAGTAAGTTTCACACTGAGCATAGATATGAAATTGGGTTCTCCCGGGCCTGTTCTAATACTCTAACTGGTATATGACACTGCCTTTACTTTAGGTTTGATTCACATATTCAGTAGGGCATACGACTCCATCCTCTTGGGATTGTAATGCTTCAGAATGCCCGTGCAGGAGCTCATGTGTGATAATATCTCCACCAAATCTTTCATTGCATGTAGAAAGCACGCACAATAGGCTAGCAGGATTCTTTTGGATGTGCTATCTTTCTGCATAAAGGGAGAATTTGCTGTGGGTAGAGTTGCCAGTAGGGTTGCCAGAAGTCCTGGAGAAAAATGTTCTGTCTCTTAACAGAAGCTTAAAGTGCAGAAACAAACAAGCAAAGCTTTTCATGGCATTAGGTCAATAATATCACCTGGTAAATAAGATCCCCTGATGTCTCTATTAAAGAACAGGACATTTTCCCTTCACATATTTGGCCTGGAAACTTCACTGATCTAAAGCTGAAAAGATGATAGAGCTTTGCTACTCTTGTCCAGCTATTTCTGTGTCACTTTTGCATACTCTTCCTTCCTAAATTCTGGAATACCAGAGCATGGCAAGTAACAGGGGCTGGTCAGGAGAAATGATCACTCACAGCTGGGTATCTAATAAAGAAGCCCATGTAATTTCCAGGCTACAACCTTAGGAGAGGGAGATGCATTCAAATAAGTAATCTGTTTCCCATGATATCTGACATGGGACTACATTCAGTGCTTAACAACTTACTTAAAACATTTTTCTTTTCAATCAATAGGATGCCCAAGGCACTGATATTGCAATGAAACAAGGACACCATAAATAAGGCCACTAAAAGTGTCATCCAGATGTCTCTGGGTTAATCCATAACCAGATTGCCTCCAGGGAAAATACCATAAACCTGGCAGCCACCCACCTAACCTCTGATAGAAGAGGCATCTGGAGAAGAATCTCTGAAGATCGTGCTAATGATTAGGCGGGTTTATATGGCAGCAGGTGATCCTTTAGCAATGTTTATAGGTCAAAAATAGCATTTTGAATTGTTCTTAGAAAATGGACTGGAAGCCAGTAGAAATACTTTTTGTTCTGGTGAGATATGTTCTCAGTGGCCAGTCCCAGTCAACGGTCAGCTGAACTGCTGTCATATTCTGGATGAGCATAAGTTTCCAAGTAGTCTTCAGAGGCTGTGCCACATAAAAAGAGTAATGGTAATGTAATTATTAGGATGTTAACAGGGCATATTTTGTTCTGGCAGGACTATTTTAATTGGCTGCAATTTTGAGGGATTTTGGAATGAGACCTGCCTGGGGCTGCCGCTGAACACTTTGGGGGTTTAGGAAAGAGAGAACAGAAAAGGAAGGCAGACCTGTAGATGCCCACATATCATCTATCACAGTGGTCATAAAAACCTAACTGCAGAATGTACAAAGTCAATTATATCCATTCATGGAAAATAGCAGCCAAACGACTTTATTTAAAATGTATTGGTATTGACTCCTTCTAATCAGAAAAGTGTGATCAAGAACAGCTCTTCTAGTAAAACTAACCTAGAATTAATTTCAATTAGTAGCATAAAGTTAACTTACAACATTATGGCTGCTGTGGGTTCTCCTACTTTTAGAAAACCAACTACCTGTGTAACAGTGAAATCTGCAATCTCAAATGTACCATAAATACAAGTCTCCCATTTGTCGGATGGCAACATCCACAATTAAACTATGAAGCGGCTGTCACTGTTTAATGCATTCCAAATTTTGGAGATGGTTTAGCACAAATCTCTCATGGCTTTAGGCTACAATCTGATTTGCATGCATAAATGGCAAATCTCAGGAAATCTCTATGTACTGTAAACTCTGTGACTTTATCCTCGAAATTACAATCGGCCTCAGTCTGTTCTGTCTGGCAAGGAAAAGGGATTGGTAAGAGTGGTCAGGAGACATTTGTTTTTTGTTTCTAAAAAATCTGATGTTTCCAACTGATAAGTAATACACCTAACATGAAATTAATGGAACACTATGCAAAAGGAAATGTGGCTTTCTTACTAAGAGAAGCGGCAACTTTCTGTAATGAAAAACCCTCTACAAACTTGTGCCCTAAGAACATAAGAACATAAGAACTGCTTTACTGGATCAGATAAAGGTTCATCTAGCCTAGCATTGCTGTTCCAACAGCAACCAGCCAGATGCCTCTTGAAAGTCATAAGCAGAGCAAGAGGCTGATGTTCATCACGTATTGCTTGTTCCCAGGGGGGGGGGGGGGAAAGTAGGAAAAAACTGACCAAGAATCTGGAAGCTTTATTCAGCCATCATGATTCATAGTTGCTGATAGACTTGTCCTCCACAAAATGGGTCTGATCTTTTAAGAAAGCCATCAAAGGGCTAGATCAGATAACAATAATCCCAGCATGGGTAGTAGCAAGCTGAAATGCACATACTTGCCTTGGCCATATGATGCACCTGCCCCAATCCCAAATGTTCGTTTGTGGACTTAAATTCTGGATAGACCAATAGATATTGGTCAGATTGCATAGTCAGTAATCACTTCTGGTTTGATTTATGATATGTATACCAGTTTTGGATGTAAAGCCCTTGAATAGATATTTGGAGGTACAGTAGATATGTTAAGTGGAAGGGGCATCCCAAATAGAGGCCAATCAAATGATGCCTTCCCCTCTTCATCCCTCTCTTATGTGTAGCAACTGCCCAGGAGAGCAATTGGCAAAAAATATTGTCCAATCCAGCCTTAAACTTTGGCCAGGGCCATAGCCAGGATTTTTTTAACTTCAGGGGGCATTTAAATAAGTCAGGGGGCACCCCTGCACACACACCCCAGGCTGTGTCAGGAGTGATGAGAGAGTAAAAGTTAAAAGTGATGAGAGAGAGAGGGGGGGGGAGAGGGGAGGAGAGGAGAGGAGAGGCAAGGGCACTGGCAGGCAGGGCAGGGTGATGGCAAGGCCGTGGCATTTGTGAAAAATAAAATAATCCAGCTGGATGGGAAGTTGGAAGGCCTGGGTAGTATGTTGGGGGGCCTGTCCCCGAGATGCCCCACTGTAGCTACAGACCTGACTGTGGCTGTCTTTACAGCCTGTGGAAGTAATATGCATGCAAGAAATGATTTCTTTTTGTAGTTTTCTTTAACCCCAAAGCTCTTTCTACCAATCCTGCACAACTGGGACCCCAAAGAGGGTTCTTAATGTTATGGGGAAGGTACTCTGAACATGTTCAACAATAGTGCATCAGATGTATCTTAAAAAATGCTCCAGGGCTGTTAATTTGTTTCCAAATTCTTGAACTTCTTTAACAGAGGCCACCATATGTGGCACTGTCTTCCTTACTGCATGGTTGGCCCTAACGTCTGATGTTTCTAGTTCTGCATATTAAGAGTAAATGGGAATGGAGCAGAAAAGCCCTAGCACAAGAGTTTTGACTTACATGTTTATAATCCTAGGCCAATATTTATGAAGAGCCAGCTTCCACTGGGAAATTAAACTAATCTGAAAAGCGTAGTAAAATGCAAGCAATGTACAATGGGAGAATTCCTCCAGTGTTTTTCTGTCTTTAATGCTTATTAATAAAAATAGTAAACCTAAAAGGAAGTGACGGATATCCTGTTCTTTTTCATCACAACACAAGCCTTTTGTTGGGTAAATTCCATGCCAGATCTTCTAATTTAATTATGGAGAGCATAATGTGAATAAATGTAAAAACAAGAATGAGCAACGTTCTCTTGGAATGCCACTAAATAAAATGTCAGTGGCTTTTTAAAAGTTTATAATCCTTGTGTTTGGTTGATATCTAGTTATAAAAATATTAAGTAGGTTTTTTTTAACATACATCCTGTTTTCTTTTGTAAGCAATAACTGTGTTTTTGTTTTCTGTCCTGGACTCAGTGCACTGAAATCCATGTGTGCCAATGTGTCCATGCTCTGATTAACAATTGAAAAGGGTATGTATTGGGGAGAGGGCAAAACTGGTAGTGATGATCTGTGGAAAGCGAATTGCTTCCAGCAATGAAGAGACACGTTATCAAGTATAGATTAATTTACAAAAGTCAGTATAGGAGGACAAGAAAGTAACTGAAAGAATCAAAACATATACTATCAGTGCAGTTCTTGAATCCCCTCAAGTCCATTGAAGTCAAAGGACATAGTAGTGTGTAACTCTGTTTCAGATTGCACTGCAAATTACACAGACTTCAGTTCACAATATCAAACCCAAATAGTGAGTTTTCAATGGATATTTAGATTTAGCTGGATTTAAACACCAATCTGAAAGACCTGGGAAAGTCTATTTAGTGGAACTTGCACATATTTAGGATCGGAGCTTCCATTACAACAATGCTTTTCAGTCTAAATTTCTTACGTTTTAGTGGACCAAGATATATTGAAGGACTCCAGCACTTTTGAAGATCAAAACCCAGCATCTTTTCTTATTAAAGAAATGAGCCCAACCCCTTATGAATGGCACTCTGTAGGTTTCCTGCTGAATCAAACTGGAAAACAATGGCTTGGGTTTTGTAAATCATTCCCTGTACCTTTCACTATGTTTGCGTATCCTAATACTGGACAGTTTCCATTCATTTTGGTGCTCAAAGCAAAGAAATGTGACTACACGTCAAAGATGAAAGTGAAAATGCATATGTTAAATCCCCAAAGACAAACGTAATATATACATTACGTTGCTTAGCAACAAACTTTTTTTTGGCCATAGGAACAGTGACACCAGCTAGAGAAGCCAAGCTGCATCACTTGTCAGTCTCCCAGAGAGCTTCACAGGCATCTTTCCATATCTTGCTCATGGTTAAAGATGAAAGTCTTTTGTGGTGTGATAATGTTGCAAGTCTAGTATGTTTGCTCATTAGTAAAAGTGAGCAGTCAGTTGATTTTCAATGACAAGTTGCTTTTAGAAGTGCTATCAGCAATGAGTACTCCAGGCATGCACTTGTGTACATGGAGAGGAGCATACAAAAATTTATGGATACTAGTATGCTGATAAGCATAGATCTGCCATTGTTTATATATGGCTCATTGTTTTCCCTCTTCTGGCCTAGCTAGCAGTCTTAAGCCTATGATGATGACATCATCATCCTCACCATCCTCACCTTCATTTCATAGAGAGTGATTAAAATATGGAATTCTCTGCCAGAGGATGTAGTGATGGCCACAGGAATAAACAGCTTTAAAAAGGGATTATATAGATTCATGGAGGGTACGTCTATCAGTGACTACTGGCCATGGTGACTGAGGGGAACGTTTGCATTCAGAGGCATTAATCCTCTGAATCCCAGAGCCAGGAAGCAACATCAGGGGAAGGCCTCAGCCTCTATGCCTGTTGTTGAACATCCAGAGGAACTGGTTGCCTGCTGTGTGAGACAGGATGCTGGACTAGATGGACCATTGGTCTGATCCAGCAGGGCTTTTCTTATGTTCTTATCATAGTGCGTACTAGGTCAATCAGCCGCACACTAATCTAAAGGTCTTTTTTATATATATACTTAAGTTTTTTTATTGAGTATATCTATCAGTCCACGAACACACATTCATTATCCATCTTATTGATATACTCATTTTCCATTTTTAACAATCATAATAACCAAACAAAATAAAGAGAAATACACCTGAGGTTACTATTCCAACAGACTAAAATTTTTACTCTCATTTAATCCCTCTTCTTTTCATATGCCCCTATCTTACCCGTTTATAATTTCCATTCAACTTCCCCATAGCTTATACTTAATCATAATACAACTCATAATCTACAGTTCATTTCTTCCTCAATTAATACTATTTTTCTCCATCTTCTTCTGTACTTGAAAAGAAAAGTTGAAATGGTTGCCTCCGATTATGGGTGCTATAGAGAAACACTTTACAGTGAGAGGTAAACCTTCTATCTCCCTGTATTCGGAGGTCTTGGGGGGGCACACTCTTAGCCTCCTTGCTACACCCTATTATAACACTGAAAACTCTAACCCTCTAATCTAACAATGCTCACAGATAACTATTCTTACTTAAACATGTTTAGAGTTCAAGTCTACTCTTTTACTAATAAATCTTACCTTTAATTGTTTCCCCCTACACTATAACCTAACTATCCACACCAGAGTATATTGCCCGTTCGCGGTGAGGGCGGGGTAAAAATGCAAAAAAAATAAAATAAAAATAAAAATATTGTTTCCTTCACACACCTCTTTCAGTTTAGTAACAGCCTCGATAAGGTTTTTACCCATCATCTCATTATGTGCTATAAACGTTTTGTTATTTAAATTAACTACCAAATGGCCGAGTGCTATTTAAATTAACTACCAAATGGCCGAGTGCTAGCCATCTATATGGTATTTCCTTTTTTCTCAATGTCTTTGCAGTTTCATGCAGTCTTTGTCTCGCAATCAGCACCTCTGGGATGACGTCAGCATACAAAAACACGGATGTGTCTTCAAGGGACAAACCTTGTTTTTCTCGAGCTATTTTAAAAAGTTTGTTTCTGATGTGTAGCTCTTTGAATTCGACGACAATGTCTTGCGGAACGCCTGGGGAGCTCTCTTTGAAACATTAATTCAGAAAGCCGAGGTAATTATCTCTTCAGAGGTCTCTGTTACTCCCTTCGACTGAAGTGTCTGCAAAAACCATTTGTTTAGTTCCTCTTTAAGATAACCTGTTGCACAGAAGTTTGAGGAAACTCCACATAGTTTCACTTTCTTTTCCCTTAACCTGGTCTCCTGAAGGATAATTTTATTTTTTGCCCACTTCTCCACATAGTTTCACTTTCTTTTCCCTTAACCTGGTCTCCTGAAGGATAATTTTATTTTTTGCCCACTTCTCAAACTCTTGTACCTCCGACAAATTATCAGCTGCTTTTCTAGCGATTTGAAGTGCAGATTCAGCCTTCTTCCTTGTCGCTTTCACAGATGAGGTAAGTTTGTCTAGTTTCTGATTTATTGGGTCAATAACGAGCTTAAGCTGAGCAAATTCCTTTCGTAATTGTCCGACATCAGAAGACAAAGCTTTTATCTCACTTTTAATCTCCTCTTTTATTTCTGTTAATGCCTGTGTAATTGGAGCCTGGGAGTTTTGGTTTGAATTCCCTCCTGCCACTGCCATTTCATCTAGCAAGGAGAGCTCTTGCTCTGATTCTTCCGAATCGGTAATATCCTTCCTTAGCAATTTGAGAGGCGAGTTTTTAGCTCCATTTTCCCCTCAGGATCTTTCCCTGCCTGGCATTGAACATTTTGTAAAGTTACCTTGTTTTTTTTAATAGTAAACGTTGTTTTTCTGTTGGGGGTAGCAGGAGAGCGTAAGAGCTGCAGCCGACCGGAAGGACAGCTGCCACGCCCCCCTTATCTAAAGGTCTTTTTGATGGTCAAGGAATCACGGTAGTATTGCAACACTACGGGCTAGATGCATTTTATAAACATGAGTGACAGGCAGATAGCTTGATCAATTCACCCCACTTGCTTTGCAGGGTACACAGCTATGCTGCTGTGTCAGTGCTAGCTACATTGTGTGCCACTGCTAGGGTTGCCAGCCCCCAGGTCTGGGTGGGGTTTCCCCCACCCTTGGGGGCTTCAATCCACCCATGCCCAGCTGGCTAGCAGGGAAGCCCCACCCCAAGCCCCACCCCCAAGAGTGACCAGGTGGCCCACAGATCAGCTGGAGGGCCCTTTAAATCTAGCAGGAGGGAGGTAGAGGGGTGCTTGCAGGCTACACGCTTAGCTCACGAAAAGACCCTTTATTTTTTGCAAGTAGGGTGGAGGCCACAGTCCATGGGGCTGATTTCCTCCAGCCCCGTACGCCATGTCACCCACCCTACTCACAATAAAACCCAAGGGTCTTTTTGTGAGCTGAGTGTGTGGCCCATGACCCTCCTGCTAGATTTAAAGGGCCCTCCAGCTGATCAGCAGCCACATAGTCCCTGCAAATCAGCTGAAGCCCTTTAAATTGGGCAGAAGGTGAGGGGCGGGTGGTCACTCTTGGGGCAGGGATTGGGTCAGCCCCACCTACCCCCAGAATGCCCCCCAATCTCCCCGGGGGAGCAACGAGGGACCTGGCAACCCTAGCCACTGCTCTTACTCAGAGTATGATTCAGGGCTTATCTTTTAAAGACATTCCAGATCTTGACTTCCACGACTGCGTTGACTAGACTGTGCCTAGCAAATAGGATTCAGGCTTAGGTAAAGGTTTGGGGTGAGCTGCCTGTTGCTTTCATTGTTTCCGCATTGAGATCCAAACAACCCCTGCTGCTCCCACGGCTGTCATTCAGAATACCAACGTTGCAACCATCACCCCTGCTAATTTTTAACCACTACTGCTGTCATGTGAACCTGCAATTTTTTTGAGGTTCATTTAAATGACAGTTCTAAGGAGAAGAAGAAGAAGGGAAAAAAACCCACTGCCATATTCATATTATGTGTTGGGTCTATATATTTATAGGCCCAGTCTGAATCCTTTTTAAAATAATGGGTTAAGGAGAGTTTGCAGGACTTAGACTGTTAAAAATAGGTTTTTAAGCATCTTGACTTATTGGAATTATTTTAATTAACGTGTATCTTCTATTTTGCAGGAAGGAGCGAGGCACCCAGTAACACAAGAAGCATTCGTTTCAAGCATTTCAAGTAGCTGACATAAAGGGGGGAAAAGTCCTTCGGTGTTTTGTTGAATGTCAGATGGATACAAGCCTATGGCTAGGAGAACAACAGGGCCATCCTGTGCTGAGCGACTCCAGCCTGAGCCGAGTGAAATCAATGGGCTTACATTTAGAACTTTACAGAAAAATGCTTATTTACTTAGGATGTGTAGAGTGAAAATTCATGGAGAGGAGTCCTGCCAGATGATGTAGTGATGTAGTGATGGCCACAGGAACAAACAGCTTTAAAAGGGGTTTCAATCGATTCATGGAGAAGATGTCAATCAGTGGCTACTAGCCATGGTGACAAAAGGGAACCTCCAGGTACAAAGGCAGTCAGTCTCTGAATCCCAGAGCCAGGAGGAAACATCAGGAAGGCCTTGGCCTCTATGCCCTGTAGTTGGTGCTCCAGAAAAAACCGGTTGGCCACTGTGTGAGACAGGATGCTGGGCTAGAACTGGTCTGATTCAGCCGGGCTCTTCTTGTGTTCTTAATATGGAAACAAGGGTTGATTCACACATCTTCTGGAGTTCAGTGCTTCCCAGGTGCATATGGCCCTGCTTTAGAATGGGACTGCAGTGTGCAGGATGCTTAAGCCTTCTCTGAAATGGCTCCAGGAGCTGCTGTTTGCCCTGTTGGGGAATCTTACATTTGGCTTTCAGAAGACCTTAATTTCCCCAGAGAGACAAGTAATGGCTCCAGAGGCAGTTTCAGGACAGGAAAGTGTCATGTGGGGAGAAAGGCTTAAGCACTCTCTCCCTGCTCACCATGGTCCCAAACTGACCTGGACCAGCTTGCACACATCTAGGAGGCACTGAACTCAAGAACATGTCTTTGTAACAAGTGCCTCAGAGTCAGAACATCTAGCAAGATGGCTGGCATATATCTATGCACCGATACTTTGAGGGTATTGTAATTTGAAGAATTTGGGAACACATGAAGCTTCATTATACTGAATCAGACAATCAGTTCACCAAGGCCAGTATTGTTTTCTCAGACTGGTAGTGGCTGTCCAGGATCTCAGAGTTCTTTCACATCACCTCCTACCGAATCCTTTTAACTGGAGACGCAGGGGATTGAACCTGGGGCCTTCTGCATGCCAGTGTAAGTGAATATAATCAACAGGATGGGACATCCAAAAGGCAAAATAATAGGATTAGGACTGCAGAACTCTGAAACCAAGAAGAAAGCTGAAACAAAGCTGAAACAAAGCATGACCTGTTGAACATGGTAGAATAGTATGTACAGCGACAGATACTATACACAGTAGTGCAGTTCGCAGTCCCTTTCCCTTCATTAAAGCATATTTCTGCTCTATTTAATGATATTATAGCCCTGTGTAAAGCCTTCCTGAATAATTCAGTTTTGCATAGTTTGCAGAATACCAGGACAGTGAGAGCCTTCCTGACCTAAGGTGGGGGCCACAACAGAGAATGCATGTGTACGAGCAGTGGTTGATCTTGTCCTGCACCTGAAGATGGTCCTGCACAAAAGCTGTTGTGGTAGAGCATAGGGGAAAAGTTAGTCCTGCTGATACAAGGGTCAAAGGTCATGAAGGGTTTTGTATGTGATAGCCAGTACCTTGCATTGAACACAGAAACTGATGGACAGCCAACGGAGTGATTGCAGAATGAGAGTAATACACACACACTGTCTGGTTTCCAGTAATAGCCGAGCCGCAGCTTTCTGCATCAACTGGAGTCTCCAAATTGATGTTGAGGGGAGACTTATGTAGACTGCATTATAGTAGTCTAGTACTGATGTTACCATAGTATGGCTCCAAGAGCCAGATAGGCCTAGTCAAGGTGAGGGGGGCCATCTTCCAGGTGAAACTGAGTTGAGAGAAAGCTCAGTTCTTAGTTTCAATTTGTTCATCCTCACTATTTAACCACAGCAGACAGCCAATGATTCGGGAACTGGGTGTTGTCAACATATTGATGACAGCCAGCCCCCAAACAACATACAGTTTGTCTTAAGGTTGCATATATAAAATATATCACTAAACGGAAGAAAAATGCATTTTCTAAGGCCAAAACAGAACATATCTCAGAGCTGCTGACCTTTAATAGAACTGGCACTGGCCTTCAAATGCCAACCAAAGGAAACAAAGTTTTCAGAACTTTTTTTGGCTTGTTGCCAAGGTGGTAAAGTTTTGTAGTCTTGGGCAGGCACTAAGAATCTTTTGCTACATGTCTTGATGGTACTGTGAAGACACATTTGCTTAATCTCACCCAATATTAGAGACCATGATGAACACACATGAAGCTGTCTTATACTGAATCACACCATTGGTCCATCAAAGCCAGTATTGTCTACTCAGACTGTCAGCCGTACTCCAGGGTCTCAGGTAGAGGTCTTTCACATCATCTACTGCCTGATCTTTTTTTTAAGCTGGAGACACCAGAGATTGAACCTTGGATCGTCTGCATGCAAAGCAGTGGCTCCTCCCCTAAGCCATAGCCCCATGATGGGGCACAATAGCAGGAGGTTGTGTTTAAGTATCTTAGAAGCAGGTGGGTAGCCATGCAGGACAAAGTTTGAGTCCAATGGCACCTTTAAGACCAACAAAATTTTATTCAAGGTATAAGCTTTCATGTGCATGCACACAAAAGATTAGACCTTTAATCAAATTTTGTTGGTCTTAAAGGTGCCACTGGATTTACACCAAGTAGATGGCAGGACTGTGCAATGTTTGTTTTCATGTAGCCTTGTTTTCAAATAAAAACTCAGCATGTTAATTTTTAAAAAATGTTATTTGTTCTCTATTTCAATCAGGGGGGTTGCATTCCCTTATATTTGTTTTTCCATTGGTTTCAGTGAGAAACCCATCTAGTTAGGCTGTGTGTTGCCTTTGCTCTTCATCTAGCTCTGATGCCATTTTCAGGAACTTACAGAGTGGTCAGAGAGAGGCATTTGGCATCCCAAGAAAGTCTCTGTCTCTTCTTTATTGCTCAGACTGGGAGTGTGAGTCTTTCCTTGGTACAAGACAAACACTGGGCATTATAGTGTTCAATGGAAATTATTTTAAGTGTGAGCACACACTTTCTCACATAGACAAACTAATTATTGACATGTGCCATACATAAGAATTCACTATGTGCACTCCTATAAACATAGTAATGTCCAAGACAGTGACACTAAATGATACTGAAAGATTAACAAGCAGGATACAGAATTAACAGACACATTAAGGGCCAATTCACACATTACAAATGTCTTGTATTTCCCATGGGTTCTGTTAATCAGACGTGCTCCTGGACCTCTGTGCTCAGAATTTAATATATTAGGACTGGGATTATGGCATGTGACATTCCTGATCCAAAATGACTTCAAGGGGTCACAGCCCAATTGGAGAAACTTACAAGTACTGATGGGCACACCTTAGTTTTCCCAGATGACAAACAGTCGTTCCCTGGGGCCATATCAGCTAAGGAAATGGCTTGTGAGGAGAAGGCTTAAGAACCCTCACATCATGTCTTGCAGTCCCGGTCCAAATCTAGCCTATGCATGCCTGAGAATTCAGTTCCGAGCCTGGAGCTTCCGGACCACATTTGCTGACAGACTTTATAAATGAGTGCATTGGTCCAAACAGAATTAGAGAAAAACCTCATCAACTGTACAGCAACTCTCTCTCACACGCTAGCAAACATAGCAAATCAAATACATTATCACACAAGTCAGTCACACAGTAGGACCATAACTATGCAATTTTCAAAGCACTAGAAACAACCTGGAAAATGCTTGGTATCAAAGAGTACTCAGACAAAAAGAAACTGGCAGGAGGTGGGGAGTGACTGCCACTTATGCAGTATCAAGAAAACCTTCTCCAAGACAATGATGATTGGTGGAGAAACTGGAAAGAAAGATCTTAGGAAAAATATTTTATGGTGCAACAACTATTTGACTGTGATGATTGGAAAAGATTCCTCTCAGTTTCATTTACTTCTGACTTCACTATGTCCATGCATTAGATCTGTGGTACAGATTGTCAGGGATGCTCTAAGCTAATCCTGCATTGAACAGGGGGTTGGACTAGATGACCTGTATGGCCCATTCCAACTCTGTGATTCGATGATTCTATCACATCTCTCTAAACAAGTCAGAATGATTATTTATTTTTTTAAAAAAATTGTTATAACAACAATGAATGGTTATTATTTCATTTTGTTAATAAACGAATGCCTACCTCTACTGGATGGGGTGAAAAGGCAGAGCAAATGGCCAGCCAAAGGTAGTAGGGGGAGTCAAAGTGAAATTAAATGTTCTATTGTGAGTTTAGAAAATCAAGAATTAAGAATGAGTATTTTTTCTATCTTCCTTCCTCCCCTGGGAATCTGAGCATCTTCCTGTCCTGGGAAGAGATCAGACAGCATTTCCAGATGGAGCACATATTCAGTGTCAAATGAGATACAAGTGTGGGAATAGGAAGCACAACATGCTTGTCTTTCCTCTCCCTGGGCCTCTTTAGAACACCCAAAGCCATTCTCAGGGCATCTTGGTTGCATCTGTAAAGTAACAGTAGGATCTCTGGCAGTAAGAAAGGCTCTACCAGACCACCTGCAGCTACAGTAACTTGCAAAATGTGATAGATGTGAATGTTAATGTGGAGAAACTATTGTTTGGAGAAATACTGGGGGGCACGGAATTCCTTTGTTCTAACTCTGCAGGACTGTGATCTGTTAGAGACCTATTCTGGCAAAAAAAGGATGGTGAGGGAGATCTTATCCTGATCCTACCACTCCACTGAACAAAGTTTATCATTTTATTCATTGATTACATTATTTATAACTTAAGTGGTTCTTCTGTTGGAGGAAGAGCCTCTCGAGTTGGAGGAATGCTTAGAAGATGGTTGGCTCCACCCTGGGGTCTCTGCCTTCAGTGCCCTGTGAAGCATAATATTTATGCTCAGGGATATGCCGGGCAGTTCTCTTTAGCAGTTGCACCAGTTCTGTAAATTAGTAAAAACATTACATTTGGTTGTTAACCTGTTAAAACCTGGATGTAAAAAAATCTATATATATATTTTAATAATTTTATTTATGATTTTAACTTCACCATAAACAGGTGTATCTGGAACAATATTAAAATTACATACAGTGAGTCTATCACATTATTTTTTTACCTAACCCGGTATATAATCTGTTCCATCTTTCTCTAAATAGGTCAATTTCAATTTCAATTTATTTCTACAGTCCTTAGACCAGTCATAGAAAAAGAAGTACA